ATCTGGGTGCCAATGGTGACGCCAGAGTCGGAGACGACCTTGGGCTCTGCGGCCGTGATGGTACACTCGAAGGCTTTGGAGTCTGCGGGTGGTTGGGGTAACTGGTCAGCGCTGCGGCGTCGTAGCGGGTTGGAGCGGGGAAAACGGATGAGGAGGAGCTCTTTCCCTGGGAGATCTGGTTACTCACTCGCGTCCTTCTGGTCGTGAAGAGCGGCGGTCAGGGCCTCCATTGGGCCTGCCATGTCGAGAAGGTCAAAGTTGGGTTGCAGGGCGAACAGAACCTCAATGGGCTCGTCCGCCACTGCAGAGCTCTTGTTTGCCATCTTGCCGACTGTTTGGTGTGGTTCAAGGGGGAAAGGTGAAGTAATACAGCTTGTAGTTGCTGTCGGAGTAACTGGAGCAGTTGGAACCGAGAAGAAGAGTTCTCGGAGAAGGTCGTTGCTGGGAATTGGGGTGCGGGATGCTTGGGTTGCGAAGCTTGTTGGGGACGATGGAAGATGAGAAGGAAGGAGAAGAAGACAGCTCAGAGCTATTTGGATGAAAAGAGGGAGGGGAAGGAAGTAATAAGGGTCGAGTCATCTGGACAAAGGAGGGGTTGGACCACCGCCCGATCTCTCTCTTTCTGCCTCTCTCTGCCTGCTTTACCTGACTTCCAACTTGTCTACCTCCTCACGCGTCACCTGGAGGTGGACGTCCAGGTACCTCACCTCGCGGCATGTCCCTCCAGCGTCCCCCTTGGATCTGCGCAGCTGGCCCGGCTTCAAAGCACCCAAAGCAACCCCTCAGCTCAGGTCACTGTCCACCAGCGACTGATCAGGTGCGTTTCTGGACAAGGCCACAACCCACAACAGCTTCGAGTGGTCCAATGGCCCCACTGTCTCCCGTACGTTTTCTGGGGTCGGGTGCATCGGTGGCCCACGGTGCATGGCGCTCTTTCGCGGATTGCGGGGTTAGTCTACGAGCGTGCTCCCCGTGAGGTCACTGGCGGGTCCCGGTACATGCCTGCAGGGCAGCCGGGCCACCGAGATGCAAGTATCTCCACTTTGCAATTCTCATCGTCGCCCGCAGACTGTTGGACCCGTAGAAAGACTAAGCGAGACCAATCGAGTGCTGCGCAGTCCACGCTGCTTGGGCGGTGGCCGCCGTGGCCTGCCGCATAGTGGTCTTCCGTCAGGCCCCTCGCTCGTGCCCTGTAGTGTCCAATGACCCAATCTTGCCCCCTTCCCGGCCTTGCACGAGAGAGGGTCCCTGGCAAAGCTTGTACCTTGCATCAGCAGATTCCGTTGCCTGACAGTTGCATGATACCGACTTCCACCCGCGCCCGCAGACGGACCTTGCCTTGCCTTTTGTTACAGACCAGAACATCGCAAGACTCGATGAAGACTTACCGCTAACACAATGGCGTCGTCAGCGTAGGTGGCCAGACTCTTTCGCCCGTCGCATTTCTCGCTTTCCTCTCAGCCTGCTGCGATGCGTCATGCGGTGCGCGATATTCAATCTCGCAGCATTCCAGCCTCCCGCACCTTCGCGATAAAGTACGCGGTTGACTAACACCACGCTACGTAGGTCACTCAAGGACCTGTCTAAAGCCCTGACGTCCTTCTTCGCCTCGCCCTCCCTCCCACTGTCCGACGACGTCGCCAAGGTCATCGATGCCTACCTGAACAAGCACGAGAAGTACGATGATTCGAGCGCCGAAAGACTCCAGGATGAACTCCTCAGCATCTGGGACAAGCACGTCAGCGGTGCGCCGGCCAAATATGCCCCTTTCATCCACATCTTCCGCCTTCTGGTGCCTGCAATCCGCTCGCCAGCCCGTTTGTTCAAGTGGTGGGACATTCTCAACGACCCGGTCCTAGAGAATATCATTCGGGAGAAGGGCCTGATGGAAGAGTCGCACCTTACCACGCTAGAGGTTTTGATGCTGGAAACACCCGAATTCGACGATTCGACTGCCGAACCCGTCGTTAACCCCTTCGCCAAGCGGCTGTTGTTGACATGGTTGGAGAAATACTACAAAGTCCAGTCTGACAGCGACTTGTCTGCGCAATCCAGCGAGCGCGCAATACGTCAGGCTTTGATCACATACGGCAAGAAAAAGCCCAGAGTAAGTCAACCCATGTGCTAAGCGTGGTTATGACTGGTTGTCTAACGAGATGACAGGATTTCCTCGTCGCCTTGGATACTTGCTTCGTGCGGAGTGAATTCCGAGCCAGAATCGCCAAACTCCTTTGCGAATTCGTCCAAAATCAGCCACCACACCTACACCTGATACTGCAGACACCGCTCTTCAACAACTTGCTGCGATGCTTACAGCAAGACACATCAGCAACCGTCATCTCCATGGCCATCACCGCCTTGATCATGATATTGCCACACATGCCAAGCTCCTTGGTGCCACATCTCCCGAATCTGTTCAACATATATGCACGGTTGCTATTCTGGGATAGCGAACGGACTGGGATTATCGAGGCCACATCAGACGAAAGCGAGCAGAAAAGCCTTGCGTCGCCATCAGGGTGGGAGACCTGCCCCTATTCTCAGGAGACCGACGATATCGAGGTCCCTCACTTGGCCAACTACTTTACCATTCTCTACGGCTTGTATCCCATCAACTTCATGGACTACATTCGAAAGCCACAGCGATATCTTCGACATGCAAATGCGGCCAATCCGGACGAGCTTGAAGTCCAGCCAACCGAAATCCGGCACAAGTCCGAGCGCTACAGGCAAAGCCACCTTTTGCATCCGAACTTCTACACTCTCACGATCGACTCCGAAAAGACCGATTTTGGTCGTTGGATGACAAGTGAGCCTGCAGAAGTCGTGGCTGAATGTATGGCGCTGCGCTTCTCCCCGGAAACCTTTGCGACCGTTGATACGGGCCATGGTCAGGCCGCCGAAGGAGACAACTCCCTGCTCAGTGACGAATCAGATCGGGATGGGCTTGGGCCTGCTCTGCTCAGCGGTTCCAGTCTGGAACCTGGTGTAGAGAGCTGGAGGAGCACTCAGGATCCGGAACGGGACTCGCGAGCGAGCAGCCGCGTCCATTCGACCCGTCAACGCCAGAGCTCACTATCTGATCAACCTTCGCATAGGAACTCACTTGAGGTCCCCAAGGCTGATGTGGTCGCTGACAGCCCGACCCTTCCCCCACAACTCATTCCGTCGCCCTCCCACACACAGTTGCAAGACATGTTGCACTCAAACAAAGTCATCAAGTCGGGACTACATCAATCGCTGGCCAACGACAGTGTTCCATCACTCTCACTGAGCCATCAGGAATCCGCGGCAGAGAAGTCCAGTAGCCACATGCCCCCTCCCCTGCCGGCCATGTCTGCGCCAACGTCTGTTTCCGATGGCCAGTCTCAAATTGCGCATTTGCAGCGGCAGGTCCTTCTCCTGCACAATGACTTGAACTTTGAGAGGTATCTGAAGCAGCAACACATGGCGCATATCGGCGAGCTGCGCCGAAGACAGGTTCGGGAAGCTGCAAGTGAGGCTGAGACTCAGAATCTCATTCTGACCAACCGGACATTGAGAAAGCGGTTGGAAGATTCAAAGAAGGCCGAAATGCAGATCAGGAAGGAGTCGGAGAAGAGTCGTACCCTAGCGAAGAAGTGGGAGTCCGACTTGTCCGCAAAACTGAGAACTCTACGTGAGGAATCAAGGAAGACCAAGACGGAAATTCAATCTCTGCAACAGGAGCTGCAGAGTGCAAGAGAAGAATGCGAGAAGTTGAAGAAGCTGGTGTGCGATGCCGAGGTCAAGGAGCTCAATTCAAAGCAGACCATGCAGTCCATCGAGATCAACGCTGCCGAGAACGATCGACTGAAGGCCGACGTGGAGCGACTGTCTATCTCGGAGAGGAATCTCCAAGCTAAGGAGGCAGAGAGACAGGCGGCGATCACGTCTGCGGCGGAAGCAGAGAACCGGGCAGAGATACTAGGATTGAAACTTCAGGCGCGCGAGGAGGAGCTCCAGAAGACCAAGAAGCTCTTCCAGACCCAAATTGGTGTGCTGAACGCGAAGCTCCTCGAGGCACACGAGGGCATCCACAGCAGACGAACCGCCGAGACCAAGGCCGCCGTCGAGAGTGCGCTTGTAGCAAGCCGGGCGAAGCAGGCTGAGCTGCAGAAGCAGTACACGAGTCTGATGAGGAAATACACGGTACTGCAGTCGCAGGTCGAGGAAAACCGATTCTCGGTCGGATCGTCCAACTCGCATGGTCGAGCTGACTTCGTCTTTCGCATGGACGGGGACGGGGAGGGCTCAACGCACTCAACCAGTCCCGTCACGACGCGAGGCAGTCACTCAGGCTTGCACAGGGTCTTGTCCGACCACGACTTCATCAACCCGACGTCGTACAACGCGACACCGCCCATCATGTCCAAGCCGGCGACCCCAGTGCCGGCGGGCTCGTCGCATCTCCCGCCAGTGCCGTCTAGCCCGCTGGACGCGGACGAAGGCGCAGCCGCCAGCCCAACGTCGGCGACGACGGACCCGAGATATTTCGGCAGAGGTGAGTCTGGAACGGCCCGGATTCGGTTTCGCGATGGGTTTTGGCGGATCAACTAATCAAGAGCCTCGGTTGTTTTCTTTTTCAGGCGGAGTTCAGAACCGACGGAAAGACGAAAAGGGGAAGAAGACGGGGGTGATTCGGGGTATCCGTGGATACATGTGAAGGAACAAAACGGCGGTGCATGTTGGATCGGTATCGTTGTTTCGAGTACGCGATGCAGCTCGTGGAGGAAAGATACCCAATGCCTGATGGTGCAACGTTTTTGCTGCACACATTGTCTCGCAGCTGCTGTAGAGGAGCAACATAGAGGCCAGATTGACTGGTCATTGTTTGGAGAGTGCAAAACTCCAGCACGAAACAAACCTACATCTCTCTCCGTGCTCTGACCTTGCTCGCTCTCATCTCTTGCAGACTCGCGACCCGCTCTCCATAGACCCCCATCTCGCGCCCATCGTCACCAACCAAACAACAAAAGCCTGCCCGGCTAGCTCAATCGGTAGAGCGTGAGACTCTTAATCTCAAGGTTGTGGGTTCGACCCGTAAGCGCACCTCTCTCGAGTGTTCATCGCATCTGAACATTGCCACTAACACCATACCAGCCACGTCGGGCTCAATTCCCGTCCGCGATTGAAGCGCACTTCTTTTTTTTTTTTTTTTTTTTTTTTTTGCATTTCCCCGCTGTTTCTCAAATGCCGCTGCTCCTGATCTCTGAACGGTTTGGATACGCAAGTGTAGTGGAAAGAAACCCTTTGCGGAGTGATGTGCTGTTTTCCAGGGTTGTTGCTTGTTCCTTTGGCGAGCTTCCTCTGCGGCGGATTCTGATATAGTCATCTTGGAAGCCATTCCGACTCTGATGGGAGGGCTGAGCCATGGACAAAGTGATGAAGCAGAGGTGGCGCTACTAGTTGGTACTCGGAGGAGATTTCCTGTGCTGAATGCCCACGTAGACTCTGAGCGTGTGTAATCCGCGTGCTTGCAGTCGTGAGGATGGACCTTGCAGTGGGCATGCAATCCGCAGCAGATGGCCCACGGACAATTTCGAGGTGATGCGTATCCAACGCGCGTCCTTTCCGTTTCTCGTTAACCTGAGTACGCGTGACGAAATACGCCCGAGGTAAGGAACGGTCAAGCGGTACGCCGGTAATGTGTCCCGCCGTTGCCTGTGATACTGTACCCCTGCCGCAAGCTATGGCAGAGTTCACAATGGAACCGGGTTCCTGTACCGTGGCAGGCCTGCTGCTTGGCAGCCAAAGCCTACCTCGTCCGCAATGGTGGCGGCTCTTCCCTCGTGCACCTGGTGCTTGGGGCTTGACACACCACAAGCGCAGCACAAGGCCAGGCGCGCCACAAGAAACTGCCAGCGGGAGCCGCGCAGCTCGGGGCCGAGGTCCAGGCTGGGAAGACCGCTTCATCCCTAGGTGTCCGAAGGCCCTAGAAGGTCACGCTCGAGGTGACAAGACCGGGGAGCCGTTGTCCCGTGGCGGTGTTGGTATTCACTTCCCATTCCTCGCTCACCCCGTGGAGAATACATCGTGGACGAGGAAGTGCAGCGGAAGGAGATGGCATGTTGAGTGCCGTGCCTGCTTGATCTGACAAGGTCATTCAGCAGCTAGTAGACGGTTAGTGACCTTGTACCCAACCTGGCTTGACGTCGTTGAGAACAGGACGGTTAAGGGGGCTCAGCCGTACTACTTGGTGTTTGACCATCTTAGTAGACGGGACGAGTATGCTTTCTTTCAGTAGCAGGGGAACCTTCGGTCACGACGTCGAGAAGAGGCGTCATTAGTAGAGACAAGACAAACACGGACCAAACGCAACGTCAAACAGACCACGCCATGGTTCCTTTTTTATACGTTAGACTGTAAAAAACGCCCATCTCAGCGGCTCTCATGTACTCGTACATTTTCTTTCCGTCTTCTTCCCCGCGATCCAAGTCTATGTCTCACATCACTCAAATCTAGGCCAGTAAAACCTATGCTGTGTATGGAAAATAGGGCGCTCAACCGCCAATACGCAAGACCGAAGCCCCTCCCTCTCGCTCAACGCGTAAAAGTCCACGCCAAACCTGACACAGCGAGGGGCTCCTCGTCGCCCTCGCAGACGAGACCCGGCAGATACTGATCAGACTCGTTCTAAGAGTCCTCGGTAGTCGCGGTGGCGGCGGCGTCAGTGGCGGGTTCGGGCACGTCGGCATCCATCTCCTCGGGCGTGGGGGCGTCCTCGATGTCGATGGCTTCCTTCTCCGCGACACCGGCGTCCTCCGTCTTGGCCTTGGCGGCCTCGTCAATCTGCCGCTGCTTCTGCAGGCTGTTGTTGATGAGCGGCGTCGTATCGTTGAAGATGCGCAGCAGCATGGCCGTGCGGTCCTCCTTGGGCAACATGAGGTTGAGCGAGTGGATGCTCTTCCACAGCGGCAGCGCCATACGCTCGCTGAAGGCGGGGTCCGAGCCGTCGGGCTCCACGCGAAGCACGCAGCAACCCATGCCGATGTCGCGGACGCGCGCGCCGATCTCGCCCATCTTCTCCCACTCGCCGTCGGCGATGCGCGGGAACATCTCGATCAGGAGGCGCCGGAGCGTCTCCTTTGACGTGAGGCGGACGACACGCTGCTCGCCGACGTAGCCCTGCAAGATCGGCATGCCCTCGGACTGGATGCGCCAGCGGCAGATCTCGGCAGAGGGGGCGTCCTGCTTCATGAACATCTTGACACCGCCGTGGATGACCTTGATGCCGCGGCCCTCGTTCTCGACAAGGATGTCACGCGCGAGAGCCGAGGTGTAGTAGATGGCCTTGGCGGGCTCGCCGGCGGCGTTGCGCACCATGAAGCGGTCCTCGGGGAAGCGCGACGAGATGTGGTAGAAGGTCTTGATGTTCTTAATGACCTCGTGCTTGGGGTCGAGGTACTTGAAGGGTTCCTCGACCTGGCCGTGGATGTTGCGGTTGGACCTCTTGGGCTTCTCTTGTGACGCCTCGAGCTTGGGCTTCTTGGTCTCTTGAGTCTCACCGTCAGCCGTCTCGTCCTCTCGCGGTCGCTTAACGCCGTTCGTGGCATCCTGCTCGGGCACCTCGGCCTCGGTCGTGGTCTTTTCCTCACTTTCTTCCTCGGGCTTGGCCTCGGCGGCCTCAGTAGCCACGGGGACCTCCTCCGTCTTCGCCTCGACCTTCTCTTCAGTCTTCTCCTCGACCTTCGTCTCCGTGCCGTTTTCGGTTGCGGGGGTGGCAGCCGCGGTGGTTCCGTTCGACTTGGTCGCATCGTCAGCCTTCTGATCCTCGGGGCGGATCTTGACCTCGGCCTTCTTCTGCAGAACGGTGATGAAGAAGCCGCCAGTGTCCTGCTGGTGGGCGTAGACTCTCATGCAGCGCTCCAGAGGGAGGTCGGCGCACACGCTGCCCTCCAAAGGCGGGAACATGGTGTCGACAATTCTGCCAGGCGCAATGCCGTCGGTGCTGTTCTTGGTGTACTCATCGACCTCGGCCTGCGAGCCCCAGAGTCTACCAGACTTGTCCATGATCTGCCACTTGCGCATGCCCGGAGCACGGACGAGACCCTGCAGCTCGTTGCTGCAGTCGACAATCTCGACCTTGTCGGGACCGCCGGCACGGTCAATGGCAGCCGCGACAACAGACTCGTTCTCGACGGGGTTCATGCTGCACGTGGAGTAGACGACACGGCCTCCGACCTTGAGCATGGCAAGGGCGCGCAGGAGGATCCTGACCTGGGTAACGTGGAGACCCAGCGCGTTGCCAGGCTGCCAATCCTTCCACAGGTTCATGTTCTTTCTCAGTGTGCCATCACCCGAGCAGGGCACATCGGCGAGGATTCGGTCGAACTTGAGGTACTGGGGCTTATTGGGGGTCGCCGGGTCGGAAGGGAGCTTGATGGCGGGGTACTGGGTGGCATCGTGGTTCGTGACGAGCAGGTTGGGGGATCCAAGTCGCTTGAGCTGGTGAACAAGCATGTGGCCGCGCTTGTAATCGGCGTCGTTGGCGATCAGAAGGCCGGTGGTGCGGCCAGCATCCGTCGGGTCGGCCTCGAGGTCAGCCTGGCGCTCCTCCTCCGTCTCCTCGCCGAGGTCAAGACCGTCCTCCTTTGCGAACGCGCGCAGGACCTTTCTGACTCTGGCCTCCTCGCCCTGGTGGATCATCTCGAGAAGCTGGCCGGCCTTGCTGCCTGGCGCAGCACACATGTCCAGCACCGTCATGCCGGGGCGGACGTCCATGAGGAGGGGGGGGATCATGCTGACAACTTCCTGCCTGCTGATGTTACCCACGGTCGTCTCGGAAACGAGGAACTTCTGGAAAGCGGCGAAGGGGGGGTATTTGCGGATGATGTTCTTCGGGGTGGTCATCCACCAAGCAAGCTCGTTGGGGTACCAGGACAGCGGCTTGGGAGGCTCCACGGTGCGTCCATCGGCGTGTTCAATCTTTTCGATCTCGGGCATGTATCGGCTTTGCAGAAGCTTCTTCACGGCCAAGGCGTGGCTGCAGAGAAGAAATCAGTAAGACGGCGCGAGTAAAACCATCGGTCGAGTCGGTGCGACCTACCCTTTGGAGCCGCAAAAGCGGAAGCTGTTGGGGAGGTCTCTGCGCAGCGCATCCCAGAAGGGGCCCTGCTCTTCCTCGGAGAGGCCGATGATGGTGTTGTAGTAGCGCTGGAGCCTCTCGTTCTCCTTCTTGACGGCAGGGTAAGACTGCCACGATTCGCTGCGAGGCTGGCGACCGCGATCACCGCCCGTCGCGTTGCCGCCGCCGCGGCCCTTGCCCTTCTTTCCACCCTGGCAAGATGGAAGTCAGCGCAAAACGACAGCAGAAACAGAACCGCGGAAAGACTTACTCTGAATTTGCGACCCATGGTGCAAGATAGTTCCGGCGTGCGTGGGTGTGGTGGATGGCGCACGTGTGTGTGTCTTGTTTTAGAGGAGGAAGGGATGCAAAGCCGGATCCAGTCCTATCGGCGTTGAGTCGCGCGGTGTGAAATTTTGCCGTCACCCAGAAAAAAAAAGTTGGTGGTTTGAGCGCGGAATGCGCCAGCCTGTGGCCAGCCCCTCGATTGGAGATGATTGGCCAATCAGGCGCCGGCGTCGTTGGGTATCTTATCACCCCGCATCAGCACCCCTGTCTCTCAGGGTCCGCCCCGGCTTGCATCCGCTCAAGCCGCTGAGAATCGTCCCGCATCCAGAAAGCTCCTGCCGCCAACCTTCATCTCAACCACGACGAAGCTTCTTAAATGCGCTCCTCGAAACTTGAGACAAACAACATGGGATGCCCTCGAGTGATTATACGGGTGCTCCGAAGGGGGGAAAGGCATTCGCGGAACTGATTACTCCACATAATTGAGCTTACAGGCTTCCCGACACCTTCCGTGTCCGTTCCCTCCGCAGCAGGCCGTGATAGCATAGAGCATGATCAGCTTGACAAAGTGGACTCTTGACGCCCTTTACGCACTGTACATAGTGCCGGTATCTCTCTCGCTGCTAATGCCTCGAAAACGATTGGGCCCTCGTCCTTGGTGCGAACATTGCAGTGGATGCCGAGGCACAACAATTCCAAGGATAGGTTGCACTGCGGGGTTCCGCGGCAAGCGGTAGTCGGTGACTCTCCCCTGCCCTCTCA